GAGAGAGAGAGAGAGAGAGAGAGAGAGAGAGAGAGAGAGAGAGAGAGAGTGTATGTGAGAGAGAGAGAGAGAGAGAGAGAGAGAGAGAGAGAGAGAGAGAGACAGAGAGAGAGAGGGAAAATTGGTAGATAAGGCCCGCGAAAACCTTTTTTGTTTTTCGCGCCCAAACCTTTCCCGTTTGACAAGAAAGTCCCACGGGAATACGGGCCGTCCAGTGTGAAAATCTGGCGGCCGAGATTGGGTCCAGACTGTTTAGTCTCTTCCTGAACCTGGCTATATTTGTACCAGATTTATTTTCTAGTAGGCACTTCTGCCCAATGGGAAGAGTTCGGGCCCAAAAGATCAAAAGGTTTTTTTACATGGGCCGTTTCCACCAATTGTGCGCAGTGTCACGGTTGCAGGTGCAAGCACCCATCAAGCACCAGGACCGAGCTTCTCTGCTTAGCAAGGGTGCCTGCAACCGCTGTCTGGTCAGGTCACCTCACCAAGATGGTGATGGGTGATGGTCCTGGGTGACCACCAGTACCTCCTAAAAGTGCTCCACGTTAAACCACCAGTACTTGGCCCAGCTATCCATGCCGAGCCTGGAATGCCCCTTCGCGCCAATTTTTGCCGAAGCGCCGGCGTACCATTTCAATTTTTTTTTGGCTGGCGCTTCCAGCCACTGCGGTCCGGTATCCTGAAGCCCTTACCGGTCCCCCTGATGTCAGAAACCTCAGGGGTACCGGTAGTTCCCCTGGCGTCAGAAATTTCAGGGGTACCGGTAGTACAGAGTGGAAATCCGGTCGGGCCTGAAAAAATGGAATTTGCAAAAATGCACAAAATTGGCACAGCAAATATTTGACGGTCAAAATTATTTTTATGTTTTTTTCTGATATTTTTCCCTGAAAGATCACGACCTAATCTACGGACCCTCAAATTTGCATACCTTTAGATGAATTCTTCTGAGCACAAAAAATCGGCAAAGTTGCCGCTTGCTAATGGCGGGATTGGGCCCGCCTGTGACGAACGGTGGTGGCCGCTTCTCCGTACAATCCGGCCCTAGTTCACCGGGCCGAGGGGTCGCCGCGGCCGATAGCTGGGCCAAGTACTGGTGGTTTAACGGGCGTGGCTTTTGGGATGAACGGGCCTGAGCCGGTAGCCCCGATTCAGCCCAGTGGAAACGACACGATTTCCACTTTTGGCGGAGCACTTTTAGGAGGTACTGGTGGTAGGACAGGGGGGGTGTGGGTGCGCCAGGGCAAAAAGACGAGAGGAAGGGTGGGTGGGGTCTTCAAAGGGGTTCATCTGGACAACCGAGTGGCTGATTACTGTAGGTGATTGTCATTTGTTTAGCATCCCACCTCTACCAAAAAAAAAAAAAAAGAGGATTGAGCTTCTTGGATGGGCCAGTCCCTGTGTCTCCCCTCCGGTACCCTCCCCCTACGAACATTAGCATCTCTGCTCAGTGCCGCTCCAGGGAACCTACGGCCTATATCTAGGCGGCGGGCGCCAAGCTTGCTCAGGAAGGTTGATGAGTCCAATGGAGACTGGACCCAAGACCTCATGAATGTCACTTTCATGCCTTACTAACTGAATTAGGCTGCTGGATAATTATTATTTACTTTGTTGAGCCCCGTCATCAGTGGCGAAAAGAAAAGAAAGAACAACAAAGTAAAAAATATAAAAACAAGGATCAGCCCCTCGGCCAGCAGGGGGACCACCATTTTTTTTTTAACTTCAATCGGATCGCCCACTTTTCAGGATGCATTGGCTCCAAACTATTGGTGGGGAGCCGCACCTGCTGGAAGCGTTCTCGGATATTGAGCACGTACATCATTCATCTTAGTTATTGATTGGCCCCTCCTCCTCCCCTTTCCCTTTATCCTAATTGCAGCAGGACTCCCACTAGTATCATGATGAGGACTTCATGCAAATTAGAGTGCAAGATCCTTGTTTGGCCTGCAGTCAGAAAAGAGGGGCGGGGAGGCGGGTAGTGACATGGGTTAGGGATGGTTAGAGGGTGGCGGGAACATGGGAAGATGTTGGAGGGATGCTTGTGACATAGGGTAGAGCGGGGGGTAGAGGATGGACAACTTGAAAAGCAGGAAGTGGGGGAACAAAAGGGACTCCTTTCATGAGATCCGACAGGGGAGAGGGCAGAGCAACATCTATGATGTGCAACCTCACACCCCGCACATTGTCCAGTACCCTTGCAGGTTACATGGATCCCAATAGGGGTTTGCGAGAGAATTTTGAAGGAGGGATCGAAAGTCGGGATACAACCGGAATTTCTCGTGTTGGTTCAAACGTTCAACGACCCATTGTAAAATTGAAAGAAACAAAATAGGCACAGCGAAAAGGACAAAATTGCAAAACTACCAAAGACTCTAACTCAAAAGTCAAGCTCGGGGCAAGGGATAAAATGTCGATGGGGAGCCTCGAACAACTCGAAATGGTAAATAGGGCAACATTCCAATTTTTGAAAAAACAAAAGACCTTCCCTGGCTATTTTCATGGCTCAATTACTTCGATGATTCGTCACCGAACAGTGGGTTAGGGAAATTGGGGAGCAAAAAGTTAACGACACCTTGATAACACAACACGAACCCATGCCATAAACATAAATTTTCTATCGTGCACCAACAATAGTTAAAATGAGGTCTATGTGGCATGAGTCACTGACCATGAAAGCATCATAAGATCGGATCAGGGGAGTAAAATCGAGGGATAATAAAAACAATCAATCAATACAAAACCATCACTGTGAAAATGGCGGGTATTGGGACGGTTATAAAAAACAAATCTAACAGTGCACAATAGCGCATTCCTTACGTATGCTTCACTGTAGACAAGGCATGCACTTACGATGGCAAACTCAAGGAGGCTGCTATAGCAGAATAATCGAAAATTCTAATATGTATCCACACAGAGACTTAAGCCACCAGTACTTGGCCCAACTATCGACCATAGGAAAAACTAGAAAAAAAATGTTTCAATTAGATAAATTTGGGCGTATTTTTAATGATCCATACTTTTTTTTTAAGTCGTAGTTTGACTTTAGTAAGTATTGGTGGTTTAAAGACTCAAA